TTTAGTTATAAAAAAAGAAAAGTTTTTAAAATATTTACCTTTATGATGCTCATTTGCACCACCATATAAACTAGGTGGCTTATCTGTTTCTAGTATATCTTTTTCTTTTTCATCATCGGATAACATAGCGTCATCATCATCTTCAGTTTTATTCTTTGGTTCCCAAGTCATTTTATTTTCTTTCTTCAAACGTCTCCGTGCATTTGCAAACCATGTGGAGACCTGCGTCAGTGTCATCTTCGTTATAATTGCTAACATGATTTTTTCACCTTTGGTTGGATATGGATTTTTTTTATGCTCATTAAGCCAAGCTTTAAGCGTTGCTGTTGATTCACGAGTGGCGTTCTTACGTCGAGCTGCTAAATCATAGCTGGCACCATAACTGTTAAAAACATAAAAATAATAGTTTAAATAGATTTAATAAAATATTTTAAATTGTACTTCATATAATATATAAAAACAAAATTGAAATCAAACATCAAGTAAACATCAAAAAGACTAACTATATTCACATAGGTATGGCTCATAAGAAGTATATTTTAACATTGAAACTAATGTAGACTTATCCATAGGCATCATGGATATGCCTACAGAAATTGCGAGGTTGGACATTGGCTTGACTAACTTTTCGTAACAAAATTGTTATCTGAGACAGTTAAAAGCCACAAGTAACTGTCAAAAGACCATCGCATTCACAATATGTCATCCATTGATGATCTGAATTAAGTACGAAGTTTATATCATACGATTTTTTCTACAAAATATATAATCCTGCATATTAACAGGGTTATCCTTGTTTTAAAGTATCTTATTATAAAGTATCTTAAAGTATCTTAGAAATAGTTTTTTCCTACATTTCATATTTTTTATTTAGAAAATCGTTTTAACACCATACGGTGTTATCGTATTATATTACAATACAATGTTGATGCTTTAATAATATCGTTATACCGAAATATAATCAAAGCTGTATTAACGTACTTCAAATAATTTTTATCATTATTATTCTTTGAAATGTAACCTATTAAGTTTATATACCTGATCCATTCTTTGAAGACTACTCTTATTTCATATTGCAGTCAGTTTTTCTTAATAACCACCAAACCTTTTTCATGTATAAGTATTTCATTCCTAACAGTACTAAACTCCCTAGAGGGACGTTCTTTGAAAAGGATAAACATAAATTATTATTTAATATAAGCTCATTCAAATTTATATAAGCTCATTCGAATAGTTCAAATTATGTTCTATGTAATTTGTACAAAATAATTATAGTGTTTCAAAATTAATGTTTTTGGAACATACTTAACAGTTTTTATAAAAAACCTGTCATAGTTTGAATAAGTATTAAAGGTCTATAGTTTATAGATTTCATTGTGCATGTATTTAGATAATATAAGACCACTGCTATTGAACTATAGATATAAACAAATCGTATATAATCTTCGTAGGGCTTAGTCATATAAGAAAAATGCAGAATGTCACAAGAGATAGATCTCTGTTCCCTGTCCCTGTAGATAGAGACAGAAAAAGTGTGTGGTAATGGGTAACCTTATCAAATTATAACTGCGTGATAGATGAGTCATCGCAGCAAAAAAAAAGAACTAATAATTACAAAAAAGATATTATTTGGTAAACAATTTATATAAATGTAGGTTTCTTGAAAATAAAAAACTGCATTTTAAGTTTTTTAAGCATTATGTCCTAAAGCATTAGGTGAATATGCTAAGGAAGTGTCTTTCTTTATGAAAACAGAACTATAAAAAGAACAAATGATTCATGAAAGCACAATGGTACATCAATTTAACAGAGCTAGATAGTGATCTCCGTTTAGGGAGCTCAGCAATATATAAATGTAATAAAGCACTAAAATTTTTTAAGCTCATTGTATGTCATTTGAATACCGCTATCCCTTTGCTAAAACCAATCTATGTCACTACCGGCAGATATGCAGACATTCACAAAGTATTAAACTAAGAACTTACCGCCATTTTAGCAGTAGACGCTGATAGTTAATTCAGATACACAATTCAGATACTAAAGGATTATGTTTACTTACTTACTTAAATGAACATTAACAGCAACGACAGTCTTAATAACAGTGAAATAAAAAAAAAGAGGTCCTTCTTTCTTAGTAAGCATAAAAAGTATATCTATTCGACATATGAAAAATCATTGCTGTCATACAATCTAATTCATTCAATAGATTGCAAATCGAAACCTTTCATTAACCTTTTATAAATAATAGTATGATATATAGTTATATCATAAATATATTCTGATATATATACATATATATACTGAAACTATCTCCCTTCATATTTATTATCATTATATTCAAAAAATAAGCTACAATTTTAGTTATCCCTACGCAATGGAAGCACTATTATTATTAGATATTGATGTCTCACTCGACCTCTCCTTTAACATAGTGTTATATACATAATCAAAGATCAAACTCTTGTCAAATTTCTATTCAAGAAGATTATCTCCTTTAAATATAAACAATGTAAAATAACATATAGTATATTTTATTTTGAAGTATATAAGTAATAAAAAAATAATTAAAAGCTTTGAAGGCAATAATCAATGTAAAAATTACTTATAATGTCTGTACAAAATTGCGGCTGAAGTTTTTTTATAACTATAATCAATATAAAAAGCTTATAACTTTAAACCTTGATATCTCGAAAAGTTAGCTATATGGGCATTGGATATTTTCTGCCAACTAAAATGAAAACTACCAACCATGTGTGCGTCTCTTCGTTTGCATAATTAATGCTAAACTTCCTTATACTAATTCGCACTAAATAGCAGATGTATTTTTTTATGTAATCAATGTAAAGATTTTACAACTTTAAACTCGATATCTTAATGAAGCATGCTATAGTCAATGCTTAAAATAGTTAACTATTTTAAAATCACGCATTAAATCGGTGTTCAGCAAATCAGAATCGCTTCAATGATTCAAAATAAATTTTTTTTAATATTTAAATGTAGTACATTTAAGTTAAGTCTTATAATTTTAGTGGATAAATTTAAAATTTAATACGTACGAAATAAAGTAAAAAAAATATTTAAAAATCCATTTAACCACAACACGATTTTGAATTTCTTTCCACTTTTTATGCATTAATCCAACCAAAGCTTCAATCGCCTTAGCCTGGACTCAGTTATTTACAGTTAGCGAGAAACGCACTCGGAATTTTAATCTGAACATTTGAAATATCCGCTACGATAATAGCATCGTTCTCCGTACTGTAAACTCGAGCAAAAAAATCCTATTTGAGGCAACTTCATAGTACGCAACAAAGATTTTTACCAAGAAGGTTTTGCACTTGTTGAATGCCAACCACGAAATCGAAAGGAAAATAAGAAAAAACCTACACTTTAGCACACACTTCCACTAAGTGAATTAAGTTCGTATGCGAATTCACAGTTTTTTAAGTTAGAATTTCGACAAAAAGAATATTCCAGGGATTTGATTATTGGTATTCTGCTTGTAACCGCAGACGTTGGTTGTTTTAGATTTCTCTACTGGGAACAGTTTGGTTGATTTTCTACAAGCATATGAAACAAATCCAAGGATTTATATCAGAAATCCTGTAAGATTTGTTGCTGGGCATACTTATTTAAAACAAAAAGAATCAGATACTTTTAAAAATTTTAGAATATGGCATTAAACTGAATTAGATACGCAAAGTAACATTTTAAATAAATATTTAATTTGTATTTGCTTTACACGCGAAGCCAATTCAATAAAGTTAAACTACAATCTTTGAGTATTTATATAAAATTATCTGTTCTTCTAACCGCCATAAATCATTCACACCATATCAAGCTACTTAAGTAAAATGCTTTTTATTGCTGCTTTTCCGCTCACTGACCCCTCATATTGTCTTTCTGTTAGGTACCCAGAGCCGCTGTAATGCATCATGATAAGCAAAACGCCTGTGACAGTTTCGTAGTTGTACATAAGAATTTCAACACTTCATAAAAATCAACTTAAGATTTATTAACTTGTTTTTTAATACACAATAATTTACGGCTTGAATAAGTTTCTGAATTTATTATTGTATATCTTTTAATAATTTTACATATTAAACTTAATGTTTCAGTAATAAATATTTATTTATACATTCAAATAATTTATTAATTGATTCAAATACAACAAATAAAACGAAATTAATAAAATGCAAACAAAATGTTTACAAGATTTTTAATTATTAATTGTTTAAATAAATATATTAGAATATATTTACTGTACTTACCCATAAGCAGCTAATGTTGGATCGTAAGAATAGTAACCAGTTGTTGGTTGAAGACCAGCAGATGTCCAAGCTGTCATATCAGAGCCTGGACCTGTTTCTTTCAGTGCATATGGGTTACTCTATAAAAATAAGGCAGATAGATAGATTCTTTTCAGTATATTATAAATATTGTTCAAGTTTAATAAAAAAAATTAAACTAACACATGATACATCAATTAAGATTTTCACTTTTGATGCTTTTAGTAATATCTTATATAAAAGCAAAACTTTTATCTTTTACTGATATGTTTACTATGACACAATACTTGAGTAATATCGCACCTGCTGTTGACCTATTCTACAAGAAGTTCACATGGTTCTCTAGCAAGATATGTAAATACTTTAGTAAGAAAATTAGTAAAAATCATATAACGACGTAATCTGACAATTTCATAAAATTACATAAAATCTGTAAAATACGATTTTAACAAACTATTAGTTGTGTGCCTAACTAATAGTAGGTGATAGCTGATAACGCGCCGTCAATATATCGCCTAATATTTGCAACTAAAGTTCTTATGAATAATTGTTTCGTTATGAAATTAAGCGCAACAGTGTGGTCGTGGTATATTGAATAAAAAATCACAGGAACTATTGTTATACTCAAACGTCTTTACGTAAACCAGTGTTTTATACAAGGACGTGATATTGGGTGTTTAAACAGCCTAAGACACTTTAGACACTTTAGACGATTTAGACATGCTTACATATGATATTTATATTAGTTTGTGAAATTTTCATTAAATAAGTCCCTATATACGCTAATGATATAAATCTTATATATATCGTTCCTTAACATGATATCAAAGATCGTACTAAGTACTATGTTTATAACAGTAAATAGTATAACCTAATACTATAGATCGAATTTTATATAGTTCTATAACATGAAACGGTATGCTAATGATAAAAAAATTTTACTTTATACATACAGACATTTTTAGAATTAAAGTTCTATTTACGATCATGGTCAAATTAATTTCCATCAATTTAGGAAAGTATGTCCAGTATGAATATATACTTCGGTAACACAAAAATTGTGGATAAGTTTTGTACTGATATCTAAATCTGACTATAAGTGTGACTATAAGATAATTGAACACATAGATCTGGCCTATTTCAATACCAATCGAATCTATTTCAATACCTATTTGTCGCCCAATATTATTATTTACATTGGAGTGTGGCCATATTATAAGAGTATTCCTCTTTAAAATTAAAGGGTTTATGAAAATTCTTCACTGAAAACAAAATTATGACAAAAGTAACACAAATTTCTATATTCGTTTTGCTACTGCTCATCATGATAACCTCAAATTATAATCTGCATAACATATAATTTGAAGGGAGCAGTTCATGTACAGAACATATCATGACATTCTATGTATTCCTTTGGTTCGAATATCGTATTCATTTCCTATTTTCATCATTTCTGGGAATGTCTCTTTAGCATACCACCCAGTAGTACCAATTTGAACATTTTGTCCGTTGTTCAGTTTTTTAACTTAATTCTTCTTATTGAACAAATCTTTCCACACGGGTTCCATTTATTAAATCCAAACATGGACTTTCTCTCTCTCTCTTTCTCTCTCTCTCTCTCTCTCGCTCTCTCTCTCTCTGCTCCACTAATGTTCATACAAATTTTAAAAAAATTGATTCAAATGTTTTCAGGTGTAAGCAATAAACAACTTATACGAGTAAAAATCTCATTTATATAAGGAAAAATATATAGGCTTATTAAATATATACATAGATTATTTCAATTATAAAATAAATTTATATTAAATAATATACGTTGCTGGTCTGCTAGATGTTGGTGTTGTTTGTTTATAGTATTGTAAAAGTCAGTTAAAGATCTATCTACCAATTTTTTTTTTGAATTGCATTGTTCTTTTTTAATGTTAATTCGTATATCTGTTTATTACTCTATAAGTGCAGATAAATACTATATTTCACATTTGTTAATAACTCCTAGTATATATACACATAAGGTAAACTATATACCATAAAGCAGAGCAGTCGTGCTAATATCATAACCAAGTATCCTACAGACACTTTCAGATTTTAAACAGAGATAATATGCTCATATACGTACATTCTCTTACACAGATTTTAGACGAAACGGTGGTGTGTCCGTCGGGATAATGAAATAGTCCCATTGTACACAAAACATATAGTCACCTTAGCTTTACTCACATTTATAAATTAAAAACATACAATTACAGAGTATTTATGTCTTGACAATCCATGAATATATATATTCATTTATATATTCATTAATAATAATTTAATTAAACTAGTTAGAGACCTCAACATCTACAATATACAATTCCATCACACATTCAATATAAAATTCTATACGAATATACTACAATGCACCCATCAAATAATGTTTTTCGACCGCCTGTAGGGTGCGCCATTCATTTAATAGACTATGGCACTTGAAACGCTGAAACTATTTTTTGGAAAGTCATTGAAAGTGTTTGAAAACATTAAACGAAACAAGGTGTGAAGGTGTGTTTACATAACAGAAATATCAAACAAAGCCAACAAAATGAATTATTTTCAATAAATGTCATTGTTCTACTAAAATAAAATTACATACACCCCTAAAGTTTGTACCATCCTGCCATTGAGATGGACAGGATGCAATCGATATGCAAGCAGACAAGTGCCACAAAATGCACTGCAAACGCTTCGAGAATTTTCCTTAGTGTTTGTTTTTATTCAGTTTAATACAAAAACAATTTCATAGATTGACCAATGTTTAGCAATGAATTTATACATACTTTAGTTTGGTTAACTTTACTATGTTGTTTATGTGTGTGCATAAATTGATTTTTGATAAAGTACACAATATATGTATGGGCATCATATTTTATAGAAGTAAAATTGTGAAAACATAAATTAAATTGCATTAAAATCAATATATAAAGTATAAAATTCATCAATTTGTTCTAATCTCTGCTGACAGGTCTAATCTTAAGTCTCTTGTACTTATTGAAAATTGCTATAAGGAATTTTACTCTACTCTTAGACTTTGATACCCAAGTATACTTTAAATCTGTATGGATTTATCTAAACATATTTATAACCACAACTAAATAAGCAGCAACAGTAAATAATACTTAGAGTGTTATGTATATGTTTATATGTAGAATATAGTACCGAGTTCCTGCTATTTACGTAAGTCTAGTCGTACGCATACCTCAATAACTCTACAGTCAGCAAATACATTTAAGATTACCCTTTGCCTTATTTTAATCTTTTGATAATTAATGCAATTTCAAAGAGACGACGCCAGTTCGTCAGGTGCATTTAATTTCTAAATCCAATTAAAAGTCATAAACTGTCTTGCGTGGAGCATGACTTGCTTTGCATGCTTTAAAAACGTACGTACGCAACAACCATTTTCTAATCCAATTAAATTTCAACAAGTTACCATTGGTATCAGAAGTATCAATAGTAATGAAAAGCATAATAAGCATACAATAAGAAGATCAAGTTTGTAATGTGAAACTAAAACTGAACTTACCAAAGGCGAATAAAATGCTGAACTGTCGACACCAATGCTTGGATAAGGATTCTGTTCGGTTGAAGGATATGGAGTGCCATAAACGCCAACACTTGCTGCCGGCATACGGGAATAACTTGAAAGCGCTAAGCGTGCAGAATCATATTGACAGGAGCACACTGTTTGTCCTGAGACTGGATCCGTCATTATTGGTCTGCCATTTTCACAACAAGTTGTACTACCAATACCTGCATTAACAGCACCAGCGATACCAGCAGCTGAGCCGGATAAAGCTGCTTCACTTTGTGATTCATTCATGCTAACACCAACAGCAGCAGAATTTACTACTGCAGATACGCTGCCTGCATTATTTGATGTTTGTGAAATTGCACCTGGACTAAGCGGTCCATTGGTAGTGGCACCAGTTGTCGCCGAACCTCCAGATGGACTAAGCGAAGCATCGTTTGCACCAGACAGTGGTGAAGGTGCAGAGCCGTTATTGACTGTTGTTGGTATACTTGACGCTGCTGTTGTGGTTTGACCTACACCGCCGAGTAACTGCAAAACAAAATAAAATGTTTTTATGTTATTTTACTTTAAGTTATACTTTAAGTGAAAACAAGTTCAAAAAATATTAAGCATATAAGAAACTGGCGGAATTTTCAAACAGGTGATTTGTGAGACCTAAAAAGAAACGAGTCAGATACGCAGCAAAAAGTCAAAAAATTCGCTTTTGCTCAGCGAAAATACGGCAAACAAACTGACAAAGCACAGCTAAAAATAAAAGTAAGAAATTTATTTATATAAGAACCAAAACCCAACCTTGCAATCTTCGATCAGCGCCGACTAGAGGAAAAGTCAGCGAAGCAGATTAAGACGATAACTCCAAATGTCAAAATATTTTATTGGCTTGGCGCAATTTGCGATCCGTTCCATCTATTTTCACTTCATTAATTTTCAATTTATCACAGTCCGATTTCAGATACCGCTTTTGCTCTTGCCTTTATTGTGGCTTACGAGAGGCAAAAGGAAACGTACACTGAACGAACGTTTGCTGTTAAGATATTGTAGTATTTGCTTAAAACTTTAAATCTGATATACAAAATACACATTGAGGGAAACTATACCTAACTCACATTCAAAACAAAGAAATGAATTGAAATTTCGTAAAGAAAAAACTCCACAAAAGCAAAGAAGGCTCGATG